GCTTAAGATCTGAGCATTTTTGTATTTAGATTATATATCAACCTAAAAGAATTTGAAAATAGCTAGAAGGAGATACTATTTTTAGCTAAGTAGTGATTAAAATAATTTTATATTAGAAAATGTTCTTTGTTCCACCAATGTCTCTTCTGAAAAATTATGTAACAGAAAAGTATCAGGAAATAAGAACTATGCACAAAAATTTTCATTGTAACRTTATTCATAAAGATGAAAACTGAAGGCAATGATAACTTCCCTATCACTAGAAAAACAGATGGGTGAATTAGAAAAGTTTATTATGACACTTTGATATAACAGAGGACTTCTAAAAGCAGTGAGGGGCTTGGATCTATATGCCTTGCACTGGAGAGATGTTTCCTATTCTGGTGGGCAAATCTGTACAGGATAACTACATATGGTATACATATCTCTGTGTTTGTATGAGACAAAAGGAAGAGTGTGTATAGAAAGGTAGGTATGTAAGGACCTAAAGAAGGGCTATTTGCAAAATCATCATCAGCTATTTGAAAAGAAATGGAATCATTTGATTTGTTTCAGAAGCATTGAGTACTCTTTTAGATGGAAAGGGCAATGAAATAATTTCAGTTGCCTACCAAAAAATAAAAGGAAGAAGAAAAGACATTACAAAATAGTATGCAAACCATAATTCCACTGTTGTGAAAAATAAAAGTATATGCTTATAAAACAGAGAGCAGAAGGACTTTGGGGTGGTAGCATTTGGAGGAGATTTTCTTTAAAGAGATAATATTGAATTGATTWAACTTTCTATAATTTTAATGGATTATTTCTTACATAAAAGTGATGAAGTTTTTTCTTGAAAAAGATATGCTGTGCCAATTAGAATCCCTCTTTTAAGAATTAGAAGCAAAAAATACCAAGAGTAGGCAGTTATCAGCAGTAGTTACAGTTGAAAATCATGACGTAGGGCAGGTTTGACATGGTCATGACCGGGGTCTGAGCAGATATTGAGACAGCAGAAACTATAATGTAAGTTAAAGTTACAATGGGCAGAGAGAGAGGAAATGGGTCATGACGGAAGGTATGCCTAATGTTGACAGTAGCTGAGCCTTTTAAGTGGTGGATTCATAGAGCAAAGAGTTGTGACCTCCTGCTGCTTAAGTCCCAGATCATTAGGTAGGTCCAGGAGTCTCTGTGAATTCTGGATCAATAGTTGCTCCTGCCTTCATTCATTTACAAGGTTGCATTTCCTTTGCTATTCGCAGAGCTTTGTCTACTACAACAGGTTCAAGTGCCTAGCCTTATTAGAACCAGGTATCATGAATAGTCAATACATTGCTTTGGAATTAGTGAAACCCAGTGTCATCTTAGCAATGTTACCAGGCAGGCTCAGCATTTGTGACAAGGCCCCACAAACCTTTTCTCATGAAGGGGGAAATGGACTGGTCCAGGATAGATTTGGGAACTGTAGAATGATTTGTCATGGGATTCTCCTTCATTTTCTCAAATGATGTCTCTTGGACAATTTTATCCAGCATGGTTTCATCCAAGTTCTTTCCCATGAACTGTGCCACTTTCTGAATTTCATGTTTTGGGTCCTGTGGTGAGGGTGACATTGAATGGGATGGATTAGTTTCAGAAAGCCATGATTCTTTCACAGAAGTACAGCCCTGAACAGCTTCAAGTTTCTCTGGCCCTGGGTCTAAGTGGCTCTTTACTCACCTTCTTTATGTCCTCATGGAAGAGGAAGAGAACCTGATATCTGTCTTTCTTCTGCCACCATCCTTTCACATGSTCAAACCAGGAGCCCCAACCCACTGTAACAGACACAAAGAGCAGTCTACATAGAAATGTCACAGAACCTTCTGAGGGTCAGGGTTTTTGTTGATTTGAAGTGTAAAGGGGACATATTCTGCATCAGATACCTCCTAAGAGTCCCGATCTGTTTGATTTTGATGGTCATGTGGACTGGGATGGTCTTGGGATTATTTGTCCAAACATGCTACCCAAAGWGTCTTCCTGTTGAGGATGCACAAACATGTGTACCCTCACTGAGATAGCAATCCCTCTGGAATGAGGGTGCCTCAACAGAACCTGTGGCACAGAACACAGACTTTCTAATCAGGTGGGAGATACTTACTGAGGGCTGTGGGTCTACAGTAGAAAAGCAGCCAAGCAGCTCTACCTGGTCCCCATCCATGGCAGGACTTACCTAAAGAGGCAAAGTTCTAGAGAATCAAATGTCATGTCTGATTCTCTTGAATCAGTCTCACTAGAATGGGAATACAGGTACATGAAGCATTTTCTTTTACCTTTTCCATCAATGAAAGTTTCAAAATACTCTTCCCAGGTTACAGGGTCAGGTAGCACTTGATTCATCCTTTGGAAATTGTAGTAGGAAACCATACAGTCTTTGGYATTTCGAGCTACATAAAGGAACTTTAGGGTAAGGAGACAGATGGGTGAAAAATGGTATAGAAATGGATTTTCACAAAGTCCACCTGGGTTGAGTCTTCCTGAGGCTATCTACACACACCTGCTTAGCACTTCGTAGCTGGCAGTGTGGCTTTGTAACCTCTCACCACTCTCCGTGTATCTTTGCCAATTWTACTCTGTTTCCAACCTGGTCCTATTAAGTCTTTAATTAGCTAACCTGATCCCCACTGGTGGCAGGGGGCTAAATCCTCCTTTAGAAAGGATGACCTGATGTGTGACTAAAAAATGCCACATGCATGTGGATGAGCCTTCTGACAAACTCATCTTGGTTTCCTGGTGAAATGGGATAGCTTTGTGGTTAGGGTCTGGACTGTGGAACAAGAAAAGAGTCACTGTCTTCCTTCTGGCCTCTCCAACTTTATTATTTCTATCTCTAGTCACTTCAGCTCTGCCCCTACAAATCATCCCTTTATGTGTCACTTTGACCTCAAATTCAAACCTTCYTCTTCACAACTTTTCATTTAACCAACTTTTGTCTCATTATTATAAAATGAGAGAGGTAGGTAAATTCACATTGATTGTATCAGCCCCAAGTGCCTCTCCACTATCCACCCAGGACCCATGAACAGTTATTTCAGTGCTGTGCTGATTTTCACCATGAAACAGTGGTTCGTAATCAGGAATGATATTTTCCACCAGAGACATTTATCAATCACCAGAGACATTTTTAGTTGTGACACTGGGACAGTGATGCTGGCATCTAGTGAGTAAAGGTCAGGAATGCTGAACATCACTCTACCATACACTACACAGGAGACAAAACTAAGATTTCATGTCACGCCAATCAGAATGGCAGCTATTATGAAGACAAACAACAACAAGTGTTGCCGAGGATGTGGGGAAAATGGTACACTCATACACTGCTGGTGGGACTGCAAACTGGTGCAGCCAATAGGGAAAGCAGTATGGAGATTCCTTGGAAAATTGGGAATGKAACCACCATTTGACCTAACTATTCCTCTCCTCAGTCTATACCCAAAGGACTTAAAAACAGCATATTACAGGGACACAGCCACATCAATGTTTATAGCAGCACAACTCACAATAGCTAAACTGTGGAGCCAACCTAGATGCCCTTCAGTAGATGAATGGATGAAAAAAATGTGGCACTTATACACCATGGAATTTTCTCAGCAATAAAAGAGAATAAAATCATCGCATTTGCAGGTCAATGGATAGAGTTGGAGGAGATAATGTTAAATCCCCAAAAAACAAATGCTGAATGTTTTCTCTGATATAAGGAGGCTGACTCATAGTGGGGTAGGGAGGGGGAGCATAGGAGGATTAGATGAACTCAAGATCGGGCAGAGGGGTGGGAGGGGAAGGGAGGGTGCACAGAGTTAGAAATGATGGTGGAATGTGATGGTCATCATTATCCAAAGTGCAGGTATGAAGACAAAAATTGGTTTGAATATACTTTGTATACAACCAAAGATATCTAAAATTGTGCTCTATATATGTAATATGAATTGTAATGTATTCTGCTTTTATATATAAATTTTAAAAATTAATAAAAATACATAGGAGAGATCTTCTGCTCCCACCCACATGAAAGAATTATCTGKCTCAAAATATCAGTAGTGCTATATTTATTCATATTAAACTATCTTTTATATTCTCTATTCTGATACTTGGACATTTTGAAACCTTTCTGTTTTTAGAGGGAGTRTCCTTTCTAGGAGTAGCTCATTCCTAGGTCTAGTAAATATACAGCCAACCAATCCAGAGCTCACAGTTCCACCTCCTCYTTTATGAAGCTCTCATACTCTGAACCACTATCCACCTGCCCACTCAACACAGGGCAGGTACCAGACMATCAGACACAGCCCTATGCCCCAGAGTCTGCTGAAATTGTTCAAACCACCCAACTTGAAGCCTGCCTACCTTGCATCTCCTGTACCCATCCTGCAGAAACTAAAATAATGGCTCTTGTACATATTTTTATCTCATCTCTCTGCATCCTGACTGACCTGGTGCTTCTCTATATGGCTCTATGTGGCATGCGGTACCTTCTGTTTCTAGGGAACTGTGAGCACAAAACACTCTTCATGACGGTCATTTCTGTGTCTGAATTACTTACCACATCACTTTGAACAAATCCCATTTGTCTTTTAAGCAAAAACAAAACAAAACAAAATTAKAAAATAAGGGCTGAGATTGAGAAGCCCTGCTTTCCAAGTTGGTTACTCTGCCACTGTTGTCTAAGTCCTATATCCGTCTTCTTCATCAATGAACACGTTTCTTAAAATATTTAAAAAACACCTGAATTCTTAAGCTTTTAAACCTCAGTTGTCTTTCACTTCACTGTCCCTTGCCAGCTTGTGAATCTCTTCTCATATTTCTGACCTCCAGTCACAAGACTTCATCCCCTCTCCAAGTTCATGAATTTGGTATTCATCGGTATTTATACTGCATATTAGCCTATTATGGGGTTTTAAATTTCAATAACTGATATATATTTCTTTAATAGTTCTGTTTCTACTTATATCTTATTCCAGTATTTTAATTTTGATTCAATCTTTCATTTCTTTATACAACCTATTCTTCCTTCCTTCCTCCTTCCCTTTTTTCATCTTTCTTTGTCTCTCTCTCTTTTTTTCTTTCCAGTGGTATAAATGAAACCAGAACTTTGTATGCTAGGAAAAAACCCTAGTACTTCCCAGACCTCTTCTTTTATTTCTATAGGTGATAAATTGTTAAGTAAAGTTCTTGAGGTCTAACTCTGCTGCTTGTTATCTGTCTATCTATCTATCTATCTATCTATCACCTCTATCTCAGTCTCACTATCTTGGCTAATTCTGTATTTTGTAATGTGGGATGGTGAGCTCAGGTGTGTATCTTGTGGGGCCTGGACAGAAACTGTATTCTTCCAGACCATGTGCCTGCCAGGGATCCTAGGGAACACTGACAGTTATTATATGCCGATTTGACTTATTGTATTTTCTTGAACAGCATAATGAAGGCCAATTTGAATCCTAAAGTTTTGAGAGAGGAGGATAGTGGGCACACATTCTCAGAGGAGCTAACAGCAGGCTCAAGACAGGCTCCCTGGGTTCTCCTTCACCTTCTCCACCCACCATTGAGGATTCAACCTTTCAGTATCCCAGTTATTCTCCTTATTCTTCTGGTTCCTTATATCCTTGGATTTGGCCTTGTGCATTTGCAGGATCAAAATTTAAATTGCTGGATTATCCAGGTCATCAAATTTCCCAGACAGATCCAGGCCTAATTTACTTCTCCGAGTTTTATCTCCCTCTTCATTTTTAGAACTTAGGGACTTTCCTTACTTTTAAACCCACCTCAGTTGTACATTTCAAAAGGAAATTCTGCTATGTCCTGCAGCATTCATTGGTTGTATACAAATGTTTTTGTATACRAAACATCATCCTGGAAACAGAAGTTCTCACTCCTTACCCAGATTTTCCAAAAGGAAGCCATGTCATTTGATGTGAGTCCCCCTACCTGCACTCCTGTCATCCTGAGATTGCCTTCTTAGTCATTCCCATCTATTTCCACTGCTGAGAAAACAGTGCCCCATATTCAATTTGTGCTCTTGCCTCCCCTTGGTTACACAGTTATCATCTTTTGTAGATCAGCAGACATGTTTTACTGCCCTTTGTGGTGACAGAAATTTAACAGGCACTGATGTCCATGATRAATAAAGTACCAGAATGAATAAAACAAGGAACTCATGGCTGTGGCCAAGTGCCTCCTCAAGAGCATTCATTGCTCCATCTGTTCATCAACTTTCCCTTTTGAACAATCTGCAAGGCTTTTTTTTAATTCCCCTTTCCCTCTCCCCATGGCCCAGCCTGTGGCCCCTGTTCTCACTCTTCCCTTCACAGCAAGCCTTGCTCTTCAGAGCAGTGGATCCTCATGCCTCCCCATGTCTTATTCTCTCTAGAAATTCAGTACAGCTTCTGCCTTCAAGTCTTGTTGAAACTGTTCATGGGAATATCCTTGTTGAAACTGTTCACTGAACATAGAATCTTGCATTTTCCCTTACTGTTGAGAAGCTGYCAACCCTTCAGAAGTAGAGGAGACGTAAAGATATGGAGGAGGAAGTTCTGACCTGGGGTCTGGAGGCCTCACTCTGGGTGGGCTTCCTCTCCTCCTGCCACCAGGTGGCTGAACTGATCCTACCTTGCAGTTGTTTTCCAAGAACGATGGTGGCAATAACTGAGTAGGAAGGTGAGTCCTTAGTATCCRTGGAGCAGGCATCGCATTGGCTTTTTCCACACCTTTAAAATAATTCAAGAGGATACATCTGTATGGTGTAAGCACTGTGTGGGGACCTTGTGTCTCAGGCTCTGTCCAGAATGTTTCATTATGCACTTATCTCTCTGTTTGTTTCTTGGCTTTCTTTTGGGATTTCACAGTCATACTACTGATATTACTTTCATTTTGAAGAATGACAACATGATGGCTATAAAGGAGCTTCAAGTTAAGCTACTTCATTACTTCAAAGATAAGGAGATGGACCATTGTGTCATGTTGAGATGGAGCCCATCAGGACCGGAGAGCAGGGCTCTCACCTTCCAGCCAGCTAGAGCCAACCCYATGTGACTGGCCTATGCCAATCACTTTTTCCAACTCTAAAACCGTAGACATTTCCTGGCATGTAAGTCATGATTTCTACTCTTTCATTTATACCATTATTGGGTACTTGCTATATGCAATATTGTGTTGAACTGAGGTTATGGGGAAAAGACAACAAATAAAGCAAACATCTTCTCTCTAAGGAGTTTCAACTCTAGTGTAGCAATCAGAGGCTCAGGTAAATTGCCAGTGGAGAGCCAAAGGAGTCAGTGCTGAAAATCAAAATTGCTCCAAAGATCTGGAGTGAATTGATGTGCTKAGGTGACACAGTTGAATTTGGACCATTTGTATATGATGGGTGAAGATCCCTCTGCATGAAGGGTCAAGAATGCTGATTGCTGAGGGAGGGTATTTATAAAATAAAAAAAATAAGAAATGACATAAAATAACATGTTACTTTAAATGTGCAGCAGGGAGTTACACTTAGAAGTGGCTTCCACACAAACTCCCATTTTGCTGGCATGGTGTGAGGCCTGGCAGGGGATCAGGTCTCTGTTCTAAGCCTGTAATCAAAGTGCCCTCAGCTGACTGAGGAGCTAGGCCCTCTTCTCTCAGTGCCTGTTTTTCAAGGATGGGCCTCATCAGGAAGGAAACTGTGGAGAAGATGCCTCTCTGTGCCTCTTGTCCTTTGTTCTGGGCACACCTGTAAACTATATTTTGCCTTCTAAAAAGTGTGGTGCTGGGAGTGTTGTTCTGGATGCCAACTTCCCTCCACTCTGTCAACCAGGCTCCTGGGCAATCTTTAAGTGTTATGGGAATGGCTGTTCTACTGGCCCTGAAGAGGAGAGAGTCTCTGCTAGATCCCAGGAAAGAGAATGAGAACTGAGCCCTTCAACAGGGAGTGGCCCAGTCTGGAGCTGACATCCGTGTTATGGACACCTTGAAGCATGCAGACCTAGTACTTTCAAATCATGGCTGCTTTTGAGCCACTCCAATTGAGGAACAGTTCTTTTTGGAAGCTTGGCATGATCTCTCATCTCCACGGCTCTTCACATTTTCTTCCCAAACTTTCACTTTAGCATTAGCATTTACACTGACATTCTGATCGTCTCAACTTTATTCATGGGAATCTCCAATTACGTTTTAAGAAATTGGTATCACAGTTTCACATAACAACCCTCTTAACCTTTTTGTGTGTATGCCTTGGACTGAACCCAGGACTTGGGCATGCTAAGCACATGGTAGAACTACCACTAAACTATACTCCGAACCCCATCTACACCATTTCTAAATATACATTTCAGTGACTTTAAKTATGTTTGCATTGTTGTATAACTATGTATTTCCTGAACTTTTTTATTTTCCCAAACTGAATCTCTGTGCCCTTTAACACTAACTCCACAATTCTTCTCCAAGTCTCTGGCAACCACAATTCTGCTTTCRGTCTCTTTGTATTTGACTACTTTAAGTATTCATATAAGTGGGATCACAGTATTTGCCCTTTTTCCTTTGGCTTATTTCACTTAACACGTCTTCAGTGTTCTTCATGTTACAGCATACGTCAGAATTGTGTTCCGTTGTATGTATATACTACATTTTCTTTGTGCTTGCTTCTCTTGGTTATTGTGACTAGTGCTGCTATAAACTCTGTTTGAGTCCCTGTTTTCAATTCTTTTGGATATCTTCCTAAAAATGACATTGCTGGATCATGCGGCACCAACATTTTTTTCTTTAAATAAGAGAGCATTCTAGTACTATAAAGAAAGTTGGAAAGCCACTTTTAGAGGCCATTAAATTCATACTTCTCAGTAAGGATTCTCAAACTTGCCTTGCCTTTTCTTAGCTCCTGTCTGGTCTCCTGCTCAAACTGCCCTTCTGTTCACATGGGTCCCACTGCTCCAGGTCCCCTGTATAGAGGACATGAGTTTTCCCTYCTGCTTTCATCCCTATTGAGGTTTGTAGCAGTTTAACTCTGCCTCATATATTTTTTCTAACTCATGAAATTGTTTTTCCTCACTTGTTTTGTGATTTTTGTAATGAGAACTCTTCCTTCTATTGGTCTTCATATTGCACCTACATTTTAGCTATCATCTCAATTTTGTTTGCTGCCACCCGTCTTGTAGCTCCCTCTTCACTTGTTCCCTGGGGCATCAGCTGTTTTATTGTAACCCTGATTAAATGGATGAAACCACATATGTGGTGCTTCGATTTGAATCTATAGGTATCTTCTAAAAGAAGAGGTCCTAGGATGTCCTCATAATGTTCAAACCACTGTACCCCCAGAAGTGGAAATGTCTGGAGAGGTTTTGGAAGAGGCTATGGCTGACTAGGTGCACAGACATGAAGGCAGGAGGGAAGGTTGCAGGTTGTTGGACTCTCAGTTCCAACCTGGAGAGCAAGACCCAGGTAATCTGCCAGGAAGTCAGCCCTGCAGGCTGGTCAGTTTCTTTCCTGGTATTTATGGCTGTCATTTTTCTCCTTCCACACCTAATTCAATGCCATCTTCTAATTGGGAAGCCTATCTTCAGTTATACCACCACTTCCCACAGCCAGATAGCAGCCCTCCTCCTCCTGAACCAGCTCGCCTGGTGGATTTGGCCCAACTCCAACATAAACTCTTCTTCCAAAGATGGCCTGTAGGAGAAAGAGCTTCTGTGGGGTTGGGACTCTGCATAAATCAGTCTGCCAGTTCTTCATTTACATTTTATCCTCTCTCTTTCTCTTATTAGTGCTCCAGGGAGTCAGTTATTTCATACCACCCCAGGAAAATCCCTCGGTTGCTCAGATCCCGGGTTGGGAAGAACAGTGTTCAAGGGCAGATGGAACAGCCCTGCCTTTCGTCTCTTTTCTCAGCTCCTTTCTGGTCTCCTGCTCTAACTCTGCCCRTCTGTTCATATGGGTCCCACTGCTCTAGGCCCCCTGTGTAGAGGACATGTGTCTTCCCTCAGCTCCTGTCTGATCTCCTGCTCCAACTCTGCCCGTCTGTTCATATGGGTCCCACTGCTCCAGGCCCCCTGTGTAGAGAACATGTATCTTCCCTCCTGCTTTCATCCCTATTGAGGCCATGGAACCCATTTTCRTCTCACTGGCAGGGAGCAGGGGACCCATGGAGTCAGTCATTTTTGGCCTTCTTCATCTGCACTGAGGTCCTAGCCCTGGGATTTGAGTCATATATCATGTGTCTTTATGAGAGAAGCAGTTCAGCTTGCGTTGTGGAAATAGCCCCAGGGAGTACAAAGTTAAGTAGCTAATAGTTAAATAGTTCTTGCCTTCAAGGAGCTTGGGGTCTGGCAGAAGAGAGAGGCAATAGTCAACAAGGACAACAGTCAACAGCTGATCATTGTGGTCCCCTCCAGGAGTGCAGTTTGGCCATGCTCCCCTCATTCTGCCCAAAGCACTCCGTGCTCACCTCTGACTCACCCACTGGTTGTGACGTACATATTGTCTGCATTTTTCTCTTCCATGGAACCATAACTTATTGAGGGCCAGTGGATGCAAGGTGTCTGATGAGCAGTCCAGGGCCTGTAGTGAGTGTTGAACTGAGTGGGTTACTCCTAGATTTCATTTATATGTAGTTCACACACCCACATGCATGCACATTTTCTCAGTCTTTCCAAATGTATTCCTGTTAGACTCTATGCTTTTGGTGTGAAMTGTCTTTGTACCTGGGATTTGGTCAGAGGGTGCAAGGGACCTTAGGAAGGAGACTGACTAGCTTGTTCATTGCCCAGTGGTGCCCATCCACTCCAGASGTTTTGACCCTTGACTCACGTGCATGAGTCGATGTCATCCGCTACCCTCCTCCTCTCAGGGGCACACCTCACCTCTATGGGCAGAGACTGTCTATCCAGAAATAAAACCACGGCATGGATGAGTCTCCACTGAGTATCCCTCTGTCAGTGGCTGGGAAGAAAAKAAAACCTGAGACTGTTTGTTCCTCCTTGGACTCAGGGCACCTTGATTCATAAAGAACCATCTTGGCTTCCATATGACATGCCAAACTGGGGATTGGTTACCCTGCTTCTTAAAAATCCTACAGCTGCTGGGRTGACCTGAGGGAGGCTCTGTCTTGTTTTTTCTGACTTAGTGATGGGACATTGTGCTCCTCACTGGCAAGAAACCTCATTAGAAACCTTGCTCAGGATTTTCTCTCTCTTTAATCTCCCAATTGTCAGAGATTAAACAATGTTGATGGGGGCAGGATGTAGAAACAAGATAAAAATTTGGGCTTGGTTGGTCCAAGGACCAAATGGCACCCTGGGGCAAGTGATTTATCCTGGAGAGGTAGCTGGCAATAATACTTTACCATGAGATACCCTGACAGGCACTGTTTCAAGCTTTTTACATATATTAACTCACTTAATCCTCACAACTAATTGAGGTAGGTGCTAAATTCTGTGGCTATTTTGTAGCTGAGTAAATTATAGAGAGAGGTTAAATAACTTGCTAAAAGTCATGGGATAAGTGACATA